GCGGGTGATGCCCCCACCGCGGCCCGCACCAGCAGTTCCATTCGCGGTAGCACCATCTTCAGGAAAGAGAAAGACACAGACATAAGTCATCGTCCATTTCCCAGGAAAATATAGGGAATATGGGAAGTGCGGGGAAAGATGAGAAGCCAGAGAATATACGAAAAGATTGGGAACCTTAGGAATTGTGTCTATGTATTTTCGTGTCCCTGGGCCCCTTCACATCCAGCAGCCCTACTGCGACAGCCTGCGACAAAGTGCAGCCTCTGTGTGCCCCTCTGCAATGCGATCGCAGATGGGCCGGCACGCCCGAAATCGCAGCTAGGCGGGTACCGCCAAACACCTGCCATGTCCGCAATTCCTAACATGCACGCCAGCACGTCGAGCACCAGCAGGAGCATCACCATGAGGCGGCGCGTCCGCCAACAGCACGGCTGCCACGCAGCAGCATGATCCATCAGCACCGCGGCCTTCAGCACGGCTGGCACCAGCACTACGAACAGCAGCAGTAGTATCCAGAGGCACCACGGCGTCTGACACGGCCGGCACCAGCAGTATCTCGCCGCAGCACCGTCCAGCACCAGCGTGGCCAGTATCAGCATCGCCGCTCGCGGCAGCACCACCTGGCGGCACATCGTTTTCGTGCACGGCCAGTGCAAGCGGCACCACTCGCATTTGGAGCGCTGTAGAGCGCTTGAGTGGCCTGCAGCGCGCCCGGTGCCAGCACCAGCGCAGGTACCACTAGCTCCACTCGCAGCAGCACCACACAGCAGCCTTGCTGCCACCAGCTGTGATGAGCGCAGCCTCTGGAGCGTTTGCAGCAGTACCATGCAGCGGCACGACGGCGCACGTACAGTGTACAGATGCGTACAGCACGGCTGCTACCAGCAAAGCCATTCGCAGCATCACCGCCCATCAACATTATACGGCCTCCATCACGGTCGGCAACGGCATTCCGACACGCTGCATTTGGAGCTCCATGGCCTCCAGCACGGCCAGCACCAGCAGCGCCTCGCAGCGGCACCGTCCAGCACTAGCGCGGGCGGTAATAGCAATAGCGGTCGCGGCAGCACCATCGGCTGGTATCAGTGTCTACCGCAGCGGCCGTCCGCGAGTGCGCCAGCACCGGAGCCAGTATTGTCGCCAACATCGTCGCCAGCGGCTGCGCCAGCACCAGCGCCAGTGCCTACGCTAGCATCGTCGCCAACGCGGTCGCCAGCACTCGCTCCAGCGCCTTCGCTGGCTCCAACGGCGGACCGTTGGCCCCGAGGAAGGCGGCAATAACGCCAGCGCTTGCTGTCAGCGTTGTCGGCGGCGGGTCTGCTGGCACCGTCGCTCCGGCACCAACGCCAGCATTTACGCCAGCAAATACGCCAGTTTCATGCCCAACGCCAACGCCAGCACCGACGCCAACACCGCCGCCAGCGACATCACCAGCGTCAACGCCAGCGTCTACACCAGCATCTTCGCCAGCTCCGTGGACAATGTCTACGCTGGCACCAACGCCAGCGCCTGCGACAGCCTGAGCCGTCGTCAGCGGCTGCATTGACACCAAAGCCAGCGCCTACTCTAGCATCATCGCCAACACCCTCGTGACCGAATACGCCGACACTAACCCCAGCGCCTACGCCGTTACCGCGCCAGTGCTGGCGCCACCGCATACGACGGCACCTACGCCAGCGTTTACGTCAGCGCTTGCCGCCAGCACCGTCACCTGCGGCTGCGGCGGCGTCGACACCAGAGCCTATGTCAGTATCATCGTCAGCACCATCGCCAGCTTCTATTTCGGCACCGACGCGAGTGCCACCGCCAACATCATCGCCAGTACCGTCGCCAGTCGCTACGCAGGTGCCACCAGCTACGCCGACGCCTGCTCTGGTATCAACGCCAGCGTACACGCTAGCTCTGTTGCCATCGCTTACGCTGACATTGTCGCCAGCAGCAGCGCCAGCGGCTGCGGCGGCCCCCAAGCTGGCGCGCGCCTACGCCAGCATAATCGTCAGCGCCGTCGCCCACGCCTTGGTAAATTGAGCCTTGAGCCTCCTCTTCCTCAACTCCCTCCCATCCGGCTACAAGTTATGAGGGGATTTTAGCCGTGTCCGTCGGTGGTCAACTGACAGATCAGAGAGTGCGTGCTTTTGAGAGCGATCCTCAAGTCAACGCGCTGTGCGCGTTGTGCGCGTGGGCGTGCGTGGGCCTGCGGGTGTTCGGGCGCGTGTATGTGGGTGTGTTTATGTGTTTGCGTGCGTGTGCGTGTTCGCAGTCGTGCGGGCTTGCAAGTGCGCGTGTGTGCAAGTGCTTGCGCATGTGCGTGCGAGTGGGCGTGTGTGTTCGAGTGCGCACGCGCGTGTGTATGTGCGCCTTACGTTGCACATCGCCTTCGTGGTGCTCCTCTTCTTTCTGGGCGTCGACCTGGTCAAGTGGCACGTCCCCCTCTGCAGCGGTTGAGGCTGGTGTTCGTGATGCGCCGTCGACGGCAACACCTTCTCCTCCACCCTCCGGGTCGTCGCCCCCGGTACCAGTCCGCGGCGCTCCTGCCTCTGCACATCCACTTCGGCACCGCCTGCACCCCTGGGCCTCGCCCGCTCCGGCCGCCTGAGGCCCCGCTTTCCTGCGCCTTGTCTCCCTAATTCAAGCTGTGCGTAGCCCGCCTAGCTTATAGCGGAAGAGGTTCGCTCTCGCCCCGCAGATCAGAAGTGTGTACGTGCGCCTTGCAATACCCATCACCCCCTCAGATGCACATTGGGGTGAGAGGCTGAGAGGCTGGTCTGGGTTCGGCGCGTCGCGCTGCGATTTGGAAGGCGTCTCGATGCAATTGGTAGCCTGCAAAAGCCGATTGCGGGCACCAGATTGTTTACATTCAGTGACGTAATAAGTCGAAAGCAAAGGCCCGCCGCGGGCTCATATTTGTCGCCTCGCCTAGTATATCATATGCCTGCGCACAGGGGGCCTAGGCGCCAGGGACCGGGACACACTGCTAGATTTTCCACCTCAGTTTTTGCCGACGGAATGCTGGATTTCCTCCAGGGCCTCCTGGGCCTCTCTCCAGCCGCTCAAACGGCCTCGGTGACTCGTTGCCTGGTCGGAGGACACGGAAGGAATGAAGTGTGAGGTAACGGCTCTTGTGGGTACGAATAAGCGACAAAAGGGGCCCAACAGTGCCCAAGGGCAGCTCGGGCATGCCCCAGCTGGCTTCAGTGGGGCCGAATCAGTCCCCAAACGGGCCCATGGGGACCCGAGGAGGACGCATCAGAGGCACCCAGGAGTCAACGATCATGGATCCCCCATACGTGATTCATGACGTTCGCACATGTGCCTTCCGCTTCTGAGGGCGGAGGGGCCCAAGAGGTTCTTTGTGCCCAAGAAGTCCCAAAGAAGGGTCCACGCTGGCTCAAGATGGGCCCAAATATGGCAGATGATAGACCCTTGACGCCCCGAGAGGGTTCCACAGGGGCTCAAGCGGGTTCAACAGGGCCCCGAGAGTGCCCAAGATGGGCCCAAGACGGCTCCTTTGCCGCCTCAGAGTCCCCCGAGACGTCCAAGAGCGGCCCTGGGTGGTCCAAGAGGGCCCGGAGGCAGCTCCCAAAGCTCCCAAGATAACCCTTTCCAAATTGCGTCCAGCAGGGCTTAAGAATGTCCAGAAATGGTTGGAGGACGCCAGGGAACTCTTTAATGCTGCCCCCGAGAAATAGGGGTGCTTTGTACACATGATGTGCATTGTGTGGGTGGCGTTTGCACGTGTGTAGTAGTGCCCATGGTGTGCTTGTCGTGTCTTACTTCGTTTGCACCACATACGTAGCTTAAGCCGCATGGCTTGCACCACATAGCTCGCACCACATAGGTTGCACCACCTATCTTGTTCAGATAGCTTCCACCACGTAGTTTATGTCACAGATCCTGCAACACATCGCTTAAACCACATAGGTTTTAACACGTGGTTGACACCACAATGCTTTCACCACGTAGCTTGCACCAGATAGCTTACTTCACAATACCTGCACCACGTTGCACAGTTTGCGCCACATAGCTTGCACATCCACAGTTCAAGAAGTCACTGTTTAGGGTGCACGCTGGCAACTTGATTGCGCGTTTGTGCGAACTGGCGGGTGTATGGACAGAAACATGTGTCTGCTTGCAGCACAGAGCTGAAGCGCGCCACGCAATAATGCTGGAGCGCTTGCCAATCGCTGACCTCTGCTTGGAATTCCATTGAGTTGTGACAGTGGCCAGCCCCGCGGTAGAACCTGCGCGCGCGCTTCCAGCTGGAAGTATTGGTCAGAGAAAAAACGCCTTGAGCGCATGTTTGTATGCGCCTCTGCACAACCCAGACCAGGGTCCCGTTGGTCCACGCGTTGACCGGCACCAGACCCTCCCCGCAGCCCCCCACCCCTCGGCCCCCACGACGCCGCGCCCCACCCCCCCGCTGGCCCCCACCGGCCCACGCCTTGGGCCTCCATTCGGGATGGTCGAAGGTGGTACGGAAAGAATGGGCACAACGACCAACAGAATTTCTGGTTCATTTTGGACAGGACTCGTTGTCGGAATTGACGCGGACGTTGTCCATTTGATACAACAGGTCGCCTGCCCGACAGCGGCCGCTATCGGTTTTGGACAACATTTGTTGTTGGGCACCGTGCCCATGTCTTCCGTACCCATTTCGTGCGTCCAAAACCACGAGGCCACGCGGGCGCTCCCAGCCGGGCCCCGCTGGGCCCCCCAAGCCAGAAGAATGAGAAGATTAACGCGACAACGTGTGCTTCCCCCGACGCAGCCTACATGATGCGCGAATTGACATGTACTCGTGCGGATGGACACCCCTCACTCGAATAGGGGGACACCCCTCACTCGGATGGTGTGTGTGTGTGTGTTGCGTGCGCTGTATGTGCGTTTTGTGTGTAATGTGTGCGTGTGTGTTGCGTAATTGTGTGGGTGCGTGTGTGGGCCTGCGTTTGTGTCCTTGCGTGTTGGCTTCCAGCAATCGTGTGCAGCCTGAGTCTCCTGAGGACCGAGTTTCGGCCAATGGAGGTGCAGTTGACCGATTTCGAGAATGCGGCATTCACTGCCGTCACCGTGCTCTTGTCAAGAGTGCTACTGGTGTTCAATCTCGACGTGTTGATTCCGTTATCGAAGGTCTCGCATGGGTGGTGGTGTTTGTTTTTGTGTTTTCCTTTGTGTTTTCGAGGACCCCACTTTAAAACACAACAAACTAAATCAACACCAGGTCCAAATAATACACAACGAACCCCGTATGAAATACGAACGAATCCAATGACAAATCTCATCCAGACGCAACCCGTTGATTTTCCGTTGCGACTCACCAAGCAGGTGGACGAGAACATGAAGCGCGCGCACCAGATGGGGGCCGTGAACGCTCAGAAGTTCTGGTTCAGGAAGCATGTTCTGCCTTACGGTGATTGTGTTGGGTGCGGGTCAATTGATTTGCCCGAAGGCGATGATAGTGAAGAGATGACAATGGACGAGATCATGAATGGAAAAGGGGAGTACTTCCCTGGGTTGATCCAGTTGTGCTACGCGTACCTGGAGCACATCGCTTGTGATGCGACCTCTTTCGCGCGCATCCACCAGTACCTCTCGCTGATCAGGAGGCGGGCGAGCGGCGAACTCCTCACCCCCGCGTCGTGGATGCGGAAGTTTGTGCTTCAGCACCCCGAGTACAAGAAAGATTCCGTCATCACACCAGGCGTTGCTGTGGATCTGATGACGGCGTGCGACGAAATCGGGCGAGGTCTGCGGCCATGCAAGGAGCTGCATGGCGACGTGGTCATCGAGCCTGTCATGAAAGAGGGCCTCTACCTCACCCCGCTTAGCAGCGAGCCCAGTGCAGCTGCGCGCTGTTCCCTCCTGAAGAAGCTGCGCGCTCGGGCGTGCACGGAGGATGGTGCTTTCTCGAAGCCGTCGGCCCCGATGGTCCGCCGGTGTGGCAGCCAGAGCCCCCGGCAAAGCCCCCGGGCCTCCGTGGTAGAGCCGCCCAAGTTCATGATGGGCGAGGAGATCGAGATGACGGGCGACACGGCGCTGCTAGAGAAAGAAGCACGTGCCAGCACCCAACCGAGCGAGACGCCTGTTGCGGTGTTTGAGCCGCCCCTGCGCTAGTTCTCCGCACTCCGAAAAGGGTTCTGGCGTGTGATTGCAGCCTGGCGGAGGCAGTGGCCGGTAGCATGCCGATAGTTGCAGCCTGCGTGCGACGGGACGAAGTTCCTGTCGAAGTTCCCGTGATGCTTGGACCCAGATAAGCGGGGCCGTATCACGGAACCCTCCAGTGGTAATGTTATCATACGGTCGTCCAGAGGAGGCCAATTATCCTTTTTCGCCGACCCTGTTGAGGCCAATCCTGGATCTAGAATCAACGCATACACTTCTTCGACAGATCCAGGAGGGCGTATCCACCGATGTTGGGCCCAGGATTGGCCTGGCCAAGATCGGTGTGTATGTATAGCTGGCGCTCCACGGAAAAGTGAGGAACAGTGCACTAGCCCAGCGACGAGTTGTGCTGGATTTTTCACGCGAGCAACTATCGGTCCGCATCCACCCCTTCGCAAGTCTTTCTCCCGCATCGTGCGACGCGCACGCCCGCGAGGGCCCAGGCTTGCAACCGCGCCTCTTAGGATCCTTCTTTCACCAAGGCGGAGAAGCACCAATATTATTTAGATGCAATCTTATTATTTGGGCCGCAGGGAATCTCCGCACAGCACCCTGGCCCCTGCACCTCGCTCCCTCCCGCCCTCCTTTTCCTCGCTCCTCATCGGTAAGCTTACGCTGCTCACGGGCAGTGGCGTGGCGACGGATGTTGGCCACGAATTTCCGAGTCATGTAGGTTACTTCTTGGTGGAGAGGTTGCGAAAACGTGGACAACTATTGAGCTCATCTATTCCAGATCAACGTGGGAGGATATTCCGGTCCCCAGCAGACCTTGGAACTAGGTTAGCATTGCACGCATCATTGCTTATATATAGCGTGCGCCAATACTGCCCGCATGCGTATCAGCAGCAGCCTTTCTCGATTCCGATGACAAGTTAAAGTCTGGTGTTGAAAAGTGTTGGCAAGTGCTTTGTGGCGCACGCAGGATTTGGATGGCCACATAGTGCATGTTCCGCATGTCTTCCCCAGCATCCTGACGTCCCTCTCGGTGAGGTGACAGGAGGAGAGGGAGGAGGACGAGGAGGAAGTGGAAGGTTATGAGGGCGAGTTGAAGAGGGAGGAGATACACGGAAAGCGCAAATGAAGATATGTAATGACGGGGAGAGTGGAGGCACAGGAGTGGCTCTGAGAGAGAAAGAGAGAGAGAGAGAGAGAAAACAAAAAAAAAACATCTTGGCGAAGGACCCAACCATATGCACTTGTGAGTGCCGCGTTGTGGGTACCGTTCTTGGTGGAGTTCCCTACGGGGCCACGACCCTCGTGAGGAGTGTGCCGAAATGGGCGGGGGGGCGCATGCGGAACCCTGCCGCTGGGGCCTTCGGTGGAGCTCCCTATAGGGCCACGGTCCTCGTGAGGGGCGTGCCGAAATGGGCGGGGGGACGCATGCGGACCCTGCCGCTAGGGCCTTCGGTGAAGCCCCTTATAGGGCCACGATCCTCGTGAGGAGTGTGCCGAAATGAGCGGGGGGAAGCATGCGGACCCTGCCGCTGGGGCCTTCGGTGGAGCTCCCTATTGGAAACGATCCTCGTGAAGGGTGTGCCGAAATGAGCGGGGGGAAGCATGCGTATCTTGCCGCTAGGGCCCTCGGTGGAGCTCCCTATGGAGCCACGGTCCTCGTGAGAGGGGTGCCGAAATGAGCGGGGGGACGCATGCGGACTCTGCCCCTGGGGCCTTCGGTGGAGCTCCCTATGGGGCCACGATCCTCGTGAGGGGTGTGTCGAAATGATGGACATGCGGAGAGCAGAGGCAAGTAGGGGGAGAAGGGAGGAGGGGAGGAAGGAAGAAGGCGGGAACGCGGGGCGCTGTCTCTTTAAAACGAGGACGCAACACCACAGGATGGCTTGGGAAAAAAGGAGAGAGAGAGAGAGAGAGAGAGCGAGAAAGCTCATCATTCTCATCCCCATCCTCCTGCAACCCTCCTCGTATCATCGTGCCCTTCCCCTCTCCCAACATCCTTCACCTCATCCCGCCTTCTGCCCTCCCCGTCCTTCTTCATCTCTCTGTCTTACTTGACGGAATTTCTGTGGTACGCACGTCATCTTGACACCCGGAGCGCGAGGGGGTGAGGCCAACAATTGCGCTTCTTGACTCGTTTCCGGCGAATCTGACGGAATCCGGCGCAGAATTCCAAACCGGCGCCTTCGTTTCGGACGTACGCACAAAATCAGCCCCAGGTGGAGGGCCAAGCGTGTTCATTGCACAGTCTCCAGCGAATCTGACGACGTTTGGAGCAGACTCCCAAACTGGGGCCCTCGCTCGGGACATCCTCGCAAAGTTGGCCCCAGGTGGAGAGGCTAAGAAGCCGGTCCTGCACCGCAGAGCCGCTGGCTAGTTGTAAATAGATCCTCCCTGAGCACCACCAGGCGTGTCGTTAGGCTGGGCCGGGCGTTTTGTTCGGCATTTCCTCACCACTAGTGGCGTTGGAGTCTGCAATTCCCGACAGCTGCACGGAGGGAGGACGGTCCGTTTCCAGCGCGGGGTTTTCGCTTTGGCGCCGAACACGGATGGAGGGCGAGTCGTTTTCAAATTGGGGGTATTCATTTTGGCTCCGTGCGAACTCGCTTGAATAATCCCCAGCCGATGCATTGATGGAGGGCACTCTTTTTCGGAATGGGGCTCTCGCTCGAGCTCGCCTCAGCATGTCTTCCACAAGGATCCATGTGTGCACAGCTGCGCCCATGGAGGGCGTTTCCTTTTCAAGGTGGGGCTGCCGCAGGGCACTCCTTGATCCACCCCGCCGCCGCATCCCTTCTAGCTCGAAGGATGGAGGGCAGCTGCTTTCGGAAAGGAGCTCCGCCCGAATGGGGGGCTCCTGTGGCGCTCGTGCCTCGGAGTGGGCGCTCCGCGCAGTGAAGGAGAATGCCCGTTGGGGGCTAACGAGGAGCGTATCTACGACGGGAGGGCGTCCTGCCAGCATCGTCGGCACATCCTGTGTGTCACTGTCGTCCTCTCCTCCCCCTCCTCCCCTCCCTCCCCCCCTCTTCCTCCGTGTCCCCCTTCCCCTCGACCGCCTCATCTCCCTCCCCCATCCTTTCCCTTCCTCTTCGGCCCCTGTGCGCCCGAGTGACCCCCACCCGTGTCCCTGAAGGGAACCCAAGGGCCATGGAGCTCTGGTCCAGTCCAGTCTCTCCTCGCTGGGCCATGGAGCAACGGTGCAGAGCCCGACGCGGAGCGGGCGCCTTTTGAGGTCGGCGTTGGACGCTCCCCCGTGCGCTCTCAGCAGAGGCAACGGCTCCCACGATGGGTAGACTTGATAGGAGGGAAGAGGGAAGAGGAGGGAGGAAGATGCGTTTTACCCCTCGGAGCTGGCGCGTTTTATTCTTGAGAGCGGTAACCCCGTTGCGGGTTTTGGGGTGGTCCCGTGGTCCAGCTGGGCTTCCCCCGCTCCTCTCCTGCGTTCCCTCCTCTGTCCCCCCTGGGTACGAGGAGGGAAAAAGGACACCGCCGCAGCTTGTTGTCTGATGAGCGGCGCGAGAGAAAGGAAGGACCACGCGAGCTTGCACTTTTGTTGCTCGCATCGTCGTCCCGTCGAGTCGCATAGCTAACGTTCGCTAACTAACTGAAGCTGGAACTCGGCCGCCCTCAACGGCGAGCCGAGTCCATCCCTACTACACTGGGGCTGATGGATTTGGCCCGAAGGCTGAATCAAGCTCACATGCAGGTTATCGGCCGAAGCACTGCGGTGCACTGTAACTAAGATGGGAACCTCAGGTGAGCCGGAAGCGAACCTGGGGGTCATCATATCCGCTGCGTCGTTCGACGTGGATACAACGCAACAGGCTGCTCAGCAGCAGCGAACGAGGTACGGACGAGTTGTACGAATAGACCGCGCCGCAGGGAAAGGGTCAAACCCAGCCGCTTCGAGCCGTTGCACGGGCTCATGCGGCAATGCAGCCCGCCGCTGGCACTGCCAGATTCCGCGTGGGATCTGAAGAAGGGAAGTTTACCCCTTATCCCGTTGCGCCGAAGCACGGGTTGGAGGCCCAGCAACCAGATCAACAAAGCCAAGGGTCACCATTTTTGGGGGACCTGGCGAGACGAGTCCCACCTCGAGTTGTAGGCCACGGGCCACCCAGGCCACAGACAGGGCAGCGGGGTTGTGCCGAAGTTGCCCTCGTCGAACATCAAAGATCATTCTCAACTGCCGAGATGTCCCAAACACGAGGCCAGCAGATGGCCAACGCGCAGTAGCAGGCGTTACAGGATCAAGGCCGAATGTTCGAAGAAACAGCAAGAGGTCAACCTTACCTGGTTGCGTCTGTCCTTCGCGAAGTCCGCAAGCACCTCGCAATCGCAGCAAGGCCAGAGCGGGAACCCCCAAGCTCGCGCGGTGATTGGTGACATTGTCTAACAAGACCAGCGAATGCCGGACCAAGGGAAAACACATCCTGTCGGGCGCAGCAGTGCAGCAGAGAAACTGTTTCCGAATGAACAGCTGCAAACCGCGCCTGGAAATCCGTAAGGGCTTGGCCCCATGCCGCCGGCCCCCTGTCTCGGATAATGGGAGATGCAAAAGCTAAATCATGAGGTCTGGGCGCCGCCGTGAAGCAGTGTCGGGACATTTTTGTCTTTCGACCCTGACCTTACGGATCTGCGTCACGGGTGCCACCGAATTTCAGAAATGTGGTCAATCCTTTGCTTTTTTGGACCCTGACCCTACGGATCTGCGTGAGGGGTAACAGCGAATTTCAGAAATATAGCAAATCACATGTGTTTTTTGACACCTGACCCTACGGATCTGCATGAGGGGTGCCGCCGAATTTCAGAAATGTGGCAAATCACATGTGTTTTTGGACTCTGACCCTGCCGATCTGCGTGAGGGGTCCCGCCGAATTTTAGAACTGTCGCACATCCCCTGTGCTTTTGGACCCTGACCCAGCCGATCTGCGTGAGGGGTGCCACCGAATTTTAGAAATGTGACAAATCCCGTGTGTGTTTTTATCCTGACCCCGCCGATCTGCGTGAGGGGTGCCACCGAATTTCAGAAATGTGGCAAAACCTTTGTGTTTTTGCATCCTGACCCCGCCGATGTGCGTGAAGGGTGCCGCCGAATGTCAGAAATGTGGCAAATCACATGTGTTTTTGGACCCTGACCCCGCCGATCTGCGTGAGGGGTGCCAGCAAATTTCAGAAATGCGACAAGTCCCATGTGTTTTTGGACCCTGACCCCTCCGATCTGTGTGCGTGAGGGGTGCCACCGAATTTCAGAAATGTTGTAAATCCCGTGTGTTTTTGGACCCTGACCCTGCCGATCTGCGTGAGGGGTGTACAGTACATGTTTAGCCACCCCAGCAATTCAGAGCACACGCTCAGGGTGTGGTAAAAATGCCCGTTTTGGAGCTCCCCCCTCGCGCGGTCCATCAACAAGGAACAGTAAGCAGCAAGAAGTCAACAAGGAACAGTAAGCAGCGAGAAGCAGAATTGTAACAGTGGAAACCGGAAGCTGCAACTGGTACAGGAAACTGCGAACTTTCGCCCTGCAGCTTGATGGCCCCACAAGGGGGCCGTCGGATTCTGAAGCGCGGCAGCTCTTTCAGACGCTGGAGAAGGGCGTCGCGACGCTGGGGCAAAGGAGCAACGAGTTAGCTCAACAAGTGGAATTCGCTGCCACATCTTGGGCGCAGATTAAGCGTGAAACCTCCGAGATAGTACCCAACATGCAGGACATGCTGCCAACCTTTGCCTGCTTCCAGGAGAGACTGGATAGCGCCGATGGACAACTTTCCGTGGAGGGCGACGTGATTGGCACAGGATTTGTTGTTGCTCGACGCGCAGGGCAGCATGCAAGCGCCGCGTTATAGAGCGCAGGGGCACGAAGTGGTCAGTGCCAATTTCAGCGACCAGGCGGAGAATAACAGCGACCCTCATTTTGCCAATGCGGATCGCGGATCCGCAATGAAGCTGCAGCAGAGCTGGGTCGAATTAGTTTGATGCGGGATATGGTGAAACTGTTGTCACTGTGGGGTAGAAACGCTCTGCACGAGTGGCGTCAATAATGATAGTCGCTTCACGTATGTCCACCTTTCTTCGCATCTGTCGACAGAGATACAAAAAGACTGCACGAAGTCGGGTGGGAGGAAATCAGCTGCAGATCGACCGCCATGCGTTACTCCTGCTGTCGGCACGTTCGTTTCCGGCATCGCCTCGCACTCGTCTCCCCCCCGGCATCTTCACGCACCTCCCGGGCATCCCAGCCATGGCTTACCGAGCGCGTTCCCTTGCTCGCAGAGTGCCTACTCGCAAAAGGTCAGAACAAAAAAACACATACTTGCCCTGACGAAGTGTATCGCAAATCCCCCGCGGCGGATCCGGGCCATTTGCGAGCAGCTACTTTGCGAGTAGTGGAGCGCGTTTGTCTAATCTTCACGCCTTTCCCCAGCACTCCCAGAAACGGCGGGGTCCGCAGCACGACCGAGGGGAGGCTTAGCGGGCGTAAAACGGTGTAAAATGAACTGTTTCGCCGTCGTGGCCGCCTGTCCCAGGGCGGCTGGAAAGCTTATACCCACACGGTGGCACGTCAGGGCAAAAGCTTTCCAGCCGCCTCGGAGAAGGCGCCCCCGATGACGGAACAGTTTCTTTTAGATACCTTTCTTCTCAGGCTAGGGGGCACCGGCAGGGAGCGGAAGGGGCCGCCGTAGTTCAGAGCGTGAATTACCTACCCCGCTTTCGCTTCCAGGAAAAACGAAGTCATACCACGCGCCTCCTCGTCAAGCGACCTGACCAGTACAGGCCGTAATTTGGCATCGCTTGGTATCTCTTGAAAGCGAGGGTGGTCAAAAGCGAGGTATGTTTGTTTTCCCCCTAGTAGTGCCTGCACGGTGGCCACGCCGAGGCGCTGCGCCTCTTCGCCAACGCGCCGAACCTCGGCTTCGACGGCGCGGAGGACGGCAGCCCGACGCAGGCGGTGGCGGTCGGCCACGCGCAGAGGGGGTGCAGGAGGAGGGGGGAAGTTCCCTTAGAGGCACCCCTGCTCCTTAGAAGGCGCGGGCCTTGTCTGCAGGTGTAGGGCCGGCGCCTTCTAGGAGGCAGCCGCCTTCTAAGAATCTGTCCCTCCCTCCCTCCCATACCCCCATGTGGGCGCCGCCAGGGCGTGGTCCTCGTCGTCGTCAGGTCGTCGCCGACTCGTCGTCGCCCTCCTTGCCCTCGGATGCCCTCGCCCTCGGGTGCAGACTGGGAGGTGTGAAGAGGCGACGGCAGAGGAGAGACAGGAGGAGGAGGACCAGTGCAAACCCAAGACCCATTAACGATGTTGCAATAAACCCTCCCTCCAGGTTTCCTCATCATTGGCCACTAGAACGATACATTCCCACTGAGGAAAGTGCCCCGTTGGGAGACAACCGTTTCAAAGTCTGCACCCGTGCAAGAACACCATGCTCTGAACTTCCACGCCACGAATCAACCTTACTGCTGCGTCTTGCCGATCTTGAATCGTGACAGGACACCATTTCTGGGACTTCAGTACCGCGAATCAAATTGAATAGCTGCGCCCTCACAATCCTACACCGTTCCAAAACACCGTTTCTGGTACGTCAACGTCAACCATGAGAACCAGTAGAACTTCTGTAAGAAGAGTGTGCGTGGCGCGACGGCGAGAGTAACATTTTGAATAGGAACCGTACTCCAACAGTGAAACTGTTGCGAGTTGTTTAAACGAGTGTGCGCGGCACTAAAGCGAGAGCCAACTTCTGAAAACGACCGGCCCTCAATCTGCGAAGCTTTTGCAACTATGTGAAAGGAATGTGCGCGGCGCTAAGCGAGAGCCACATTTTGCAAGCGGCCCGCCCAATCATTCTGAAACTGTGACCATTTTGAAGCGCCAGAATCATAAATGGTAGGGAAGTCTCAGGCGAAACGCTCGTCCGCCCTTCTGTTGCTTCGGGGTGCGACAGGGAGGAGTTGCACATAAGGAGAAGGAGTGGAAGAGGAGGAGGAGGAGCAGGAGGAGGAGGGACGAGGCACTTCAGGAGGGAGAGGGACGGCGGAGGACGGGGGGCCGGGAAAGGGAGTGGGCCCGCGGGCCGCCGTTGCCCAGCGCAAGCGTGCCGGCTGGGAGGCGCCGCGGCGAGGCGGCGGCGGCCTTCGCTCGCGGGTCGGCGCTGGCGGCGGCCAGCGGAGGCGGGCGCCCGGGCGGCGGCTCGGCGGGAGTGCCCACGAGGCGCCCACGGGCGGGCCCCCGGCGAAGCTTCGGCGGACCCAGCCGGGGCACGGGGCGCCCGTGGACGCCCATGCTGAAACGGGCCGCGAGAGGGGCCGGGCAGGTGCTTCTTCTCTGGGCACGGCAAGGAGCCACAACCACAAGTATGTGGGTTCTTCGAGGGGGCACCTCGAGGGAGAGCCCACCGTCTTTGACATGAGCACTCTGGTTGTGGTCGTGGTCGATTTGGCCGTCTTGGGACGCCACATCGACCACAACCAGTACGAAGCTGATTTCGGTGTTCCGACTATTCGGGGCATGCGCAAGACATCTCCCAGTGTTGTTATGTTCCAATTGTTGTTGGCTTTGATCACCAGGAAGAACTCGGAACTCCAAGCACCAAGAAATATCGAAACTGCAGGGTTTTCACGTCGGTCCAGGGGAGGCGATACTCGTTCGACACTTTGTGTCGGGCAGACGCTGCTTCGATACCTTTCTGGGTGCTCGAAATTATATTCCCAGCAGGGCGCAGACACGGCGGCCACTCGCCGCCCGTTGCCGCACGCGGGCCAGGCCCTGCAGGGGCCATCGCCGTGCGACAGTGCATCTTCGGCCGAGCGGCTGCGCAGACGGTCCCGAAGTTCGGACGGAGCGCGTGCGTCCCTTGCGCGCGGGCGCTGGTCGACAGGACCGCCAGTGCTGCGAAGACGAGTCGGCTCGGACTCGCGGGGCGAAGCCATTGGCCTGTTCACGCTCGCAGTCGTACCGATTGTCTGCACCATCGTCTCGTCGTCACTACACGCCTCCGCATCGTCGTCATGGAAATACCTCTGCACCACCATAGATTAACTGGGGCCTTAGCCCATGCTCCTGAGACCCCCCCAGAAGAAAGAAGAGCTGCTTGACCTCCAGAGGGCCCTCTTTCGAACCCCCGAAACTTGCAACACCGATAACAACCCTTTTCCTTACCCCCCAGCAGGTGCGTCGGTCGAGGAGGGCGGGTGGAGCCTCTGTTGGGGCAGTGCAGGTCGCCGTGGCCGAGTGGAGCGGCTGATGTCTGGAGGTGGCCTGGATTGGTACCGTCGTGGGTGACTTGGGCGTCGCGTGACGGGGACGGCGATAAAGGGGGGGGGGGGGGGCAGCGAGGACTGCAGAAGAAAGGGGGCAGCGAGTAGGGCCCCTAAAGGGGCCCGTCAGGGCCCGAAAGAGGCCCCTTAGGGTCCAAAGGGGGGCCTTTGGGGGGGCTTTTGGGGCCCACAAGGGGGCCTTTAGGGCTTCCCACTAAGCGCCGCCCAGGAGGCCTCCAGGTCGGGTCTCGGGCAGGCATGGGGCACTGGTCGAACTCCAGGCGCGCGGCGCCAGCAGTGCTCCCCCCGCTGCTCCTCGCCCACGCGCGCGCAGGAGCGCGTGCTGCCGCTCCTCTCCCAGAGGGTCGGGCGCGGCTAGGTCGAGGATAAATCGTTCCAGAGAGTTGTCGAAAGCTCTTGGTTGGCCGCGGCGCCCGAGACATCCTCCAGAGCTGTCGGCTCTCAGAGATTCTCGATTCATCCTCACCCGATGTTATCCTCCTCCTGACTTCGTCCTACCGTCGGACCGAGGTGTAAGATCGAAGTTGGTTCGGGGAGGGTGCCCTAATGTTCTTCGTGCTTGTTGATTACTTGTGCATGTGCATGCTGGGGAGGGTACCCTTGAATGTTCTGTGTGTTTTGGCCGGCGGAGGGTCTCATGTGCTTGAGGGATGCCTTCTTGTCCCAGGTCCGGCCGTACCTCATCCCCACTTCCCCTCCCTCGAGGAGGGGGAGGGGGCCCAGGCGGTCGACCTGGGCGGGCTCTGGAGAGCGCTGGGCGGCGAGGGGGACGTCGAGAGCGAGGCCGCGCGGGCCCTTTGCTATGAGTGGTGCGGGCGTTCGCTGGCCGAGGAGAGGGAGGGGGAGAGACGGCGAGGAGGGAGGAGGACGGTGGGACCTCCGCCTATCTCCTCGTCGTCGTCCTCCTCCTCCTCCTCCTCCTCCTCCTCCTCCTCCTCCTCCTCCTCCTGCCTCTCCTCCTCCTGTTCTCCCTCATCCCTTTCCTGCCGCTGCTCCCCCGGCTCCTGAGCTGCCGGGCCTGTCCGCCCTGCGCCGATTTTTTGGGGCCGCTGGGCCACGTGAGCCGGAGAGGAGTGGATGGGGAGGGGGGAGGGGGGAGTGGCGGGTGCGCGAGCACTCTGCGATGGGTGGGGGGAGGGAGGGATGGAGGGTTGGCGGGAGGGAAGGAAGCGACAGGGAGTGGAAGGCATGGGCGCTCGTTCGCAGGGACTGTTGGATGGCGCTCGACCCTGCACTTCGCTCTGCCACCCAGGCAGGCAGCTCGTCTGCTAAGACGGGGGTGCATCGCTGCACGCAGCCTGCGGCTTCGCGGCGCAACAAGAGGAGCGGCATCTCCCTCATCGGAGGGGAGGGTGTCCCTGTGTCCTGCCGGATGCAAGAATATCAAGGACTGATCACCCGTCAGTCGATTGGATGGAAGCTCTTCGTACATGCAACTATACATATGCATATGTATATGCATATATGCATGTATGTATGGATGCATGTCCAGGTGTAAGTATGTCTGTATGTTTGTGTGCATGTATGTGTGTATGCAAGTATGTATGTGTTCGTGTATGTGCGTATGTGTGCATGTGTGCATGGATGTATGTGTATGTATGGATGTGTGTCTGCATGTAGGTATGTATGTATGCATGTACGCATGTCTGCATGTATGCATGCATGTCTGGACGTTGACAGGTAGGTAGGTAGATAGGTGCATGTGTGTAGGCGTGCATGTTTGTATGCACGCCTGTATACATATCTATACATCTGTGTATATGCAGCCATGCATATATGTATACACGCATGTTTGGATGCATGTGTGTATGTGTGTACGCATGTATGTGTATGTATGTTTGCATGTATGTATGTATGTATGTATGTATGTGTGTATGTATGTATGTATGTATGTGTGTATGCATGTGTGTATATGTATGTATGTACGGATGTCTATATGCATACACGACGTATGTATGTATGTTTGTTTGTTTGTATGTATGTATGTATGTATGTGTGTATGTATGTTTGTATGTATATATGTATGTATGTATGTATATATGTATGTATGTCTGTCTGTCTGTCTGTCTGTCTGTCTGTCTGTCTGTATGTATGTATGTATGTATGTATGTATGTATGTATGTATGTATATGTGTGCGTATGTTTGTATGTATGCATGTATGCCAGGCACATGTGTGCGTATGTATGCATGTATGCATGCATATGTTCAGGGCGGTGTGGCTGCCTGGCTGGATGTATGTAGGGATGTATGGATGTACGTGGTTGAGTGTACGTATGTATGTTTGTATGAATGTGTGTATGTATGTATGCATGTATGCATGTATATATGTACGTATGCATGTTCGGATGTATGTATGCACGTATGTATGTATGTATGTATGCATGTACGTACGTACGTACGTACGTATATATGTATGTATGTATGTATGTATGTATGTAGGTAGGTAGGTAGGTAGGTAGGTAGGTATGTATGTATGTATGTATGTATGTGTCTGTATGTGTCTATAGGTGTATATGTATGTGTACTTGTATGTATGTATATACATGTATACATACATACATATAATCTCGGAGTAGGCCGGGGGACGGCCCAGAACTGCGACCACTGGTTCGCATGGGGGGCCGGGGGGCCTTGAGGGCTCCAAGAGGGTGCAGAAGGGGCCCCGGACCCCCCCAGAGGCTCCCAATCTAGCCCAAGAGGCGCGCAAAGCGCCCCAAATCGATGGTCTGAAGACTGCCCAGGAGGCCCCCAAGACGCCCCAAGAGGCCTTCAGAGAGCCTCGAAGAAGCTAAAATCGGCTCATTCCCATCGGAAGTTGTATTTTTAGCGTATCCGCTTTTGGGGTGTTCGCAGCGTCCAAGACGACCCGATGGGCCCCCAATATCGCTTCAAGACGGCCCAAGAGGCCCCCAGAGGGTTTGAAGACGGCCCAAGAGGGCCCCAAGACTGTTCCAGAAAGCCCGGAGACTGGCCACAAAAAGACCAAGATGCCCCCAGAAGGCTCCCAACCAAGAGAGACCCACGAAAGCCATGGGAGACCCCCGAGCAGGCCATTGGAGGCCCCCTAAAGGGCCCGAGCCGCTTGATTATCCTTCTGCCCGCCGTGCCCCCTGGCGCCCGCGTGGCGGCGCTGCTGGGCTAGCTTCGCAAAGAATTTGTTATTACCACGCGCTCGTTGCTCTCACGCCAGCCCGCCTGTCTTTCCCGTACCTCTATCACCCTCTCTCTCTCTTTATCTCTCTCTCTCTCTCTCTTTCTCTCTCTCTCTCTCTCTCTCCCTTCCCCCTCTACCTTCTTCCCACGTTCGTGGCATCCGATGGCCATCCTTGTTCGCCCGCTCCTTCCTCTGGACCTTCTCCCCGTTTCTCCCCCTCTCATCCCTGCTCCCTTCCCGTTCCCCGTCCATGGACAAGCGCCAGCACAACAGTTTGATGCTTCGTCGCTTGTCAGCACTTTCGCGCGTGAAAAATCGTCATTCCTTTCCCGCTCGAGCGCACAAGCGTGCAAGCGCATCGGGCGAGCGCGGTGTCATTAGGCACCAGGGATATCAGAACAATGAGCCGTTCGTCCGCCCACGCCTCGAAGTCCCCCTGCTGACGAACGCGATGATCTTTTGCCTTGCCAGGGAGGCGTCCTGAACTAGACGCGCGGCGCGAAGCGCCAATGCAGTCGTGTGCGTATATCTATACACAGACAAACATTCAAATATCATCAGAAGCCCCAAACAATTTTCGCACTATTCCCGGAAAGCCTTCCAAGGAGGAGGCCACGTAATAAAATTTGAAAAAGGTAACAGGAACGCGTTCGCAAACGACGAGTGAGATGAAGAGAGGACATGAGGGACATGGAGCGACGCAATCGTAATCTTTTGGTTCGGCGCCAATCGGGGTCGCCTCTCCGCGAATGGGAGCGAAACGACCGTAATCGCTTGGTTCGAGACCAAGTAGCAGAACGCCGCTCCGCCAATTAGGAGCCAAGCAATCGGAATGTCCCTGGTTCGAGACAATATTGTCGGTATATTTTGGTTGGAGGCCAAGTAGCGGAGCGGTGTTCCGCCAATGGACGCGAGGCAATCGAAATCTGTTGGTTCGGGGAGATTAGCGGAGCGGCGCTCCGCCAATCAGAACGAAGCAATCGTAATCATCTTCGCCCCGTTGGTTTCCTTTTTTTGAAGACACGTTGGCGGCTGGGTGGCGTATGTGAGGCGACCTGGGCGCGCTGTAAGCCCCTATAGAATCCTGTTTGGGACCCGTCCTGGTGTCGGTGCTGTCATTGGCGCTATGGTTCCATGCGCATTTCAAAAAAAAAGGCTCGTCGGATCTTGGGATGTTGCTTGAACGTTTGGATGGATGTGCGGGCTGGCCGTCTTGGAGATTTCCAAGGCGGTCTTGGAAAGGTTGAGAAGGTTGCCTTGGGACTATAATGCGGCCGTTTTGGTCATTCTGAGGGTTTCATCCGGCTCCTGGAAGTTTTCCAGATACGATCCGAATGTCAACAGCTTCGGGCAAACAAATAACATTGATATCCATTGGTTCAGTTTTGTTCGGTCCCTCAGGACCCCCCTTCATAGTTATTGGGGCATCTCGTCGGGGTTTCTTGAATTACGTCGGAGCATTTCGGGGGTCATTTTGGGACGATGGTTGGCTTGTTGGAACCGTATACAGATTTACAGGGGCGCTGGGAAACAACATTAGGGGTCTGCAGACCATTCGAGTTTCAATTGGGGCAGCCTTAGAACCATCACAGGAGCCTTAACAGACAATGAACGGACATTTTGACACGCAGTTATCACGCAGACACGGTAGCGGATATTTGGCCCTCTTTGTTTCTGGTTTTTGTTGTCTCTCTTTCTCTTTCTTTCTCTCTCTCTCTCTTTCTCTTCCCTCTATCTCCCTCTACCTATATTCCCGTATGCTTAAAGGCCGGGGAGGCGGGAAAACCCTTGACACCCCCACTCCCCCCAAACCGGACCCCCGGGATCCGGGGCTGTGCAAAACCCTATGGGCGCCTCAGCCCCGCCGCGCCTCCCAGGGCGCCTCGCCAGGCCTTGCCCAGCAGACCCGGAGAGCGGTCAGAGGAGAGGTCGAAGAGGCGCAGGAGAGCCCCAAGACAGCGCACGACGGCTTCAAGACGGCCCAAGAGGCCCCCAAGGCGGCCCAAGAGGCTCCCAAGATGCTTCGAGAGGTCTGCAGGAGGGCCCCAGGGGGGGCAAACATCTTTCCATTCCCGAGGGCAGACGTGCACTTTCAGCATGCTCGCGTCTTGTGGCGTAGCAGCGTTCACGACGGCCCAAGAAGTGTCCGAAATTGCCCCAAGACCGCCCAAGAGGCACCCAAGAGAGCTTTAAGACAGCCCAAGAGGGCGCCACGACTACCCCAAGACACCTCCAAAGAAGCTCACGAGGCCCCGAAATGCTCTCAAGAGAGACCCACGAGGGCCATGGGAGGTCCCAGGAGAGCCCAAGATGGCCCCAAGAAGGCCCGTAGAGGGCCCAAATTTCCCAAGAAGGCCCCAGCACGGCCCAAGAGGGCCCCAAGACGGCCCAAACGGGCTTCAAAAGGACCCCCAAGACGCCCCAGAGAGGCGCGCAGGAGGCCCCCAGATGCCCCCAACGCCTTTGAGAGGCATTCGTGAGGTCCCCAAGAGGTTCTCCAACGAGGAGCTTCCGCAAAAAGACCTGCGGCAGACGGGGAGTGGTTCGCAACGCCAGGGGAGAGCGAGGACGAATGAGAGGAAAGATGTGAGAAGAGAAGGCGATGCTTTCCACTGCCTTGCATTGTGCGACTGGGCAAATTGGGCCACGAGCGAGCCCGTGTGGTGGCCACGCGAAGGACCTCGAACGTCATTCCTTTGCATGGTCGTGCGTCTTCCAGAAAGCGTCTCCTTACGAATACACTAAACTGACCCGAACCCCGAGTTTGCAACAACATTCCCCAGAAATCCATGGCGGACCCTGGTTTCGGTGCATTTTCAAAGCCAAGGCGGCATTGCATGACATTGCATTGCTTCGTATTCTGCACTGCGTGGCAGTGTGTTGCTTTGTTTCGCATTCATTCGCTTGGTTTACCATTGCTTCGCATTGCGCACCCTGACAGCCTGGGACACGAGCTGGCCAGAATGTAGGCCACACAAGGGCCCCCCACGTTATTCACGGCAACCGGTTCAAGCGTTTACGTACACATACATTCGCAGCCGACGGCCTAAATGTTTTCAGCTCCCGCATCCGCCACGTCCTTCATGTCTGTAGTCGCTTGCTCTAGTTGTTGCGAAGCCCTATCTTTTCGGAGCCTCGAGGTGGCGTTCTCGTGGCAGCGTCATCGGGTCCGCCTCGAAAAAAGAATCTGAACGCACCCCAAGAGAAGTTCGGGTGGTGCACGAACGTGTAAGCCGAGGGCGAAAGCAAATAAGGAACGGGACTTGAAAGAAAACGGCCCAAGCTCAAAGGCCAAAGATGTTGACGCTAAGCGCCAACGCAGTCATATGTATATATGCGTGTGTGTGTCTATATTCATGTGTTTGCGTGACTGCGACTTGATCTAAGTCCCAGCGTGTGTATGTGCGCCACGGACGGTGGTGGGCATGGCAGAATTTGTTGACACCCGACATTATCCCCTTGATCTTGTTGGCGTTCATATATGTGTGAACACAGGTATGTCGACGAGTCGTGCGACTGGGTATTTCTACAGATTCGTCGGTGCCGCTTGTGACCGAAAATGGAATAAGATCTTCGAGAACACATCTTCGTAACCGAAACCGACATGTACGTTGGCCTCCATGAGGCATGTCCATCCACCGCACCATCAATGACAAGGAGTTCCGGAACAAAAATGTTCACATCTTGTTCACACACACACCATTGGGTTATATATGAGGCACATCTGCGTAATGTGGGCGCCAACGCGCGTGTTGATTTCGCCCACAATGTGTTCCGACAACCATATTTGGAAGGACGACGAGGACGTTAGAACGTGAGCATTTGTAGTGCCATGCTATGGATGTGTCGTGAATGATGATGTCGGCGTGATATAAAGCGTTGGTCGTTCAGGTGGTTCTCAACGCGCCGCGCTTTCAGAACGTTACGTCCTTGACGTTATGACAAATGCTGACGCGGCCCCGCATCCCCAGCCATAGATTTTCTTATAACTGGTGCAAGTTGACACCGCGGTGTGGCCTAGAGAGAAGCGTGGGGAGTCGTTGGAGTGGATCGACAGAAGGACGGAAAGCATCAGCAGCAGCAGTACGATCATAAGCAGGAGGGATGGTGCAGGGAGCACAGGATGAAGCGAAGTACGGTGTTGAGCGGTGGGGGCGATCATGAAAAGTCTCCACGGACATCGTGTGTTGGAAAAGCGCGGGATTCGCCAGAGCCCCTTCTTTGCCGCTTTCTGCTAGTCGTCCGATTCAGGCGGCGGCAGGGGTGACGGTCTGTTGATGGAGAAGCGGCAGGCGAGCGGGATTCGAGTCGGATCAGCACATGTTTAGAGCAGGGAGCAGTGCCAGGGGGTGCCCCAGGTAGTTCTCACCCCGAAACATTCGTAGGACCGGGCCCCACGATCTCCCAGGAGAGCAGGTTGCGGAGACTTTGCGCAGGCAGGCGTTTCGCCAGCAGTGTCGCCTTGAATCCAGCAGCGTTGCGAGAGATCCACGTTGGTTCGGGTGTGCGCGCCTTCTCTAAACAGTCTTAACAAGTACAGCCTACGACCTGCAATGTTAACACTGGGTGACTGTGTCAAGCCCGCTTGCCTCTGTCACAGCCACCACTATACGAATTTCGCCACCACAGCGTTAACTGCTGCTGTAGATGTAAATTACGTCAAGGCCCATGTTATTAGTTTTACTGGTGCCATGACGCCCACTGTATCCTGCACCCGCACTCTACCAATGGTACTCCTACAACTTCTTCGGAATGCTGTATCAATAGCATCAGTGGTTTTTCAAGTTTCGTCACTGGCACTGCTTCACACAGCTGTCGCGATTGCTTCGGCGACGTCACCGTCGACAGCGACACCTACCAGTGTTGTTACTACCGGTCACATAATACTGGTGTTGGTACAGTTGCCATGTCTTTATGAGATGTTATTTTATTCGTAAGGGTATGTACGTATACTCATGTTGCCCTAGTACCTCTGTTTACTACAGCCATGACCGGCACAAGTACGAATCAAGATTATTGATACGATTAGTTATTAGAATGCTTCGACCTCTACCCCGCCCAATTGCCAACACGATGTAGGCGTTGGGATGAAGGGCCAGAGGAAGGTACACGGCAAAGTCGGCTGGCGAAGTGATCAAGTTCGTCTGAGGGGTGTCGAGTGCGGGAACGAGAGAAGTAAGATGTGGACGTGTTGCGAAAGGGCGGGAAAGAGAGAGAGAGAGGGAGAAGGATAAGGTTGCTGATAACCCCCCGATCTCCGAGGATCTTTTAGCTCTCAGGCACCGCACTCCTCTCCCAAAGGCGTCGGGACCCAGGAAAAGATCAGCACGTTTGTTGTGAACATTCAGATACGTTTTTTTCTGGTATCTTGGCGACTGGTTGGGCGGGCAGGTGCGAGGGGAGGTGGGATGGAGGAACGTAGCATAAGAAAGAAAGTGGGTTTGGGAGGGGGAGTTTTGAATGGACGACAAAGGCAATCATGTAGGGAGGAATGGAGAGATGCGCGGGACTTTGCAGGCAAGGATTGAGGGGGAGGAAGTGACGGGTTGAGACAATGGAGGGAGGTCCGCCGCGGACGCGTCGTCGACGACGTTGGCGGCGTAAGCAGATTGGTGTTGGGGCGGCAGCCTCGGCTTCATTTCTGAATCATGTTGGGCCTCGGAGGCGGTGTTTTTGCACGGTTGGAGAGATGACCTTGGGAGGTCTGCCGCGGATTTGTTGCCGATAACGTTGGCAATGTTGACACATCGGCGTTGCGGCGGCTGACCATCATCGGCGCCCGCATTCACAGAGTGCAAGTCGTGTCGGAGGTCCTCTAGCGCGTGTTCCTGCAGCTTGCAGCGCTGGGGAGAAACCAGGTAAGCCGTGTGGAGATGCTCCGCGCGCGCAGCAGGATTTGTCGCGACCAGGCGGGAGTTGGCGCAAGAGAGTGCGGTTGACAGGAGGTCTTACGGCCAGGAATTGTAGCGGATCCATTACCAGAAGGTCCTCAACATTGGGCGAGCAATAGATGTAAGAGCAAGCAGGGTCAGCGAGCCGTGCAATATCGCTCGGTGGCACCCACCATGGTTTGCATCAACAAGGCGCAGCGGCGAAGCTACCGCGACAACAAGCACCAAACTTGAAGACACAGCCTCTCGTTGGACAGTGAAGTTGACGTAAATTGTGCCAGGATGGCGGCGAACCGCGGATCCACCATTCCGTTGCGCACGGCCGCTATGCACGTGATGCACAACGCTGCTAGCTTGTCCACTTGGTGGCACTGGTTGCTCGCGGGGGTCTGCGTGGTAATGTGTGGTGGCGGCAGTTTCTCCCACAGTTTCGTTTGACGCCCGCGTCGATGGGGAAACTGTCACGGGGGTGACCGTGGGCAAGGGTGTCTTTTGGGAGTTTGCCTCTTGATTCTTGTGCGAAGTCAGCGCTCGGGAGAGCAGCGCCCTCTGGGGGCGTTATCGGGGGGCTCCCCTGGAGCTCTCTGGGGCGCAAGGCTATGGGGGGGCATACTAGGAGTGTGGCGGGGGCTTCTTTGGATACATTACGAAGGGTTGTCAGTATCGTCCCGTTCGGGGGGGGCGCCCAGGGCGACACAAGAGGACCTAAGTCAGAGCCGGTTGGGGGTGTTTTGCGACGCTCTCTTGGGGCTTTCTTGGGGCATCGTAGCCCGCAAAGGCGAGGAACTTGTGAAGCACAGTCCGAGGGAGCCTCCAGAAGAGCCGTCGTTGGTTATCTTGGGCCACTGCTGCTATCGTCGAGGAGCTAATTGCTATCAGGAGCTCACACTGGGGCCCATGGAGGCCGCCGTGCAGCTCACTCGGGCCATGTTGGGGCAATGTTGGGAGGGAGGTGTTCCCACGGATGGGGTTGCCACCCCTCGTCCTCCGCTCTTGGGCCAAGACTGGCCCGCGGGCCAGGGTCCAGCGTGCCTGGGTCGAGAACGGGAGGCTTCTGAGAGCCATGCTGGGGTCTCTTGGGAGAACTCCTGGGGGCTTATTGGAGGTTTCTTGCAGCCGTTTGGGGGGCCTCCTGGAAGTCTCTTCGAGGCCTCTTGGGGGCCTCTGGAGGCTTCTTGGGCGCTCCTTAGGGGCCTGCCGCTGGTCTCGGTGGAAATCTCGGTGTGGAGGGTCCCAGGTGTCGGTTCGCATTCCCCCATGGGGATCCTATCGGGGTTTTCTTGGGCGTTGGAGCTTTGGGGTTGTCTTTCGGCGTATCTGTTAGGCCGCTTTGGGCACGCTTCAGACCGAAAAGCAGCGAATGCCAGAATCAAATTCCAGTTTAGGGGGATTTGGACGAGTTGGCCCCTTGGGCTGGCCTCCAGCGCCTCCAAGACAGCGCAGGAGGCCCCCAATCGAGCCCCAGGACGGTCCCGTGAGGCCATGTCAGGAGACATGGGAAGGTGGACTCCCAACCATGCCCCCGAGGCTTCGGGAAGAGTCACGCGGCAAGCCCCAAGAGCGGCCAGGAGCGCTTGGAAGCATGCAAGTCGGGAATCCGCGGTGTGGGGCGTTTGAGGAGTTCTTGGAACACTCAGCATTGAGGATCCGAAAGGACTCGAGACGGGGCCATGCACCCGACCAAGAGTGCTAGTATCATACGGGGCAGCGGTGGTCCCGACTTCTTTGCCCAACAACGCAGGCAGATGAAGAGGAAAACGAGGAGATGGACGCTGAAGGTGAAGCGCGGGAGGAGGAGGCGCAGAAGGAGGGATCAGGAAGAGATGGTGTAGAAGAGGATGAAGGAAGGAGAGGTGAAGGAGAAGGTTGGTCCCCTGCCTCCCACTCCTGTCGTTTTCCAACGGAGCGCTTCTGACAGGACCACGCCATTGAGTGCGGACGCGGGTGGGTCGCGGCTCGTTTCTGCGCGCGAGCTTTGGCTGGGGGCGGATGAGAGGAAGGAACCAGCTGAAGAGTCTAAGAGACAGTGTAGGCAGGAGAGGAGAGAAGCAAAAGAAATCAAGGCAAGCTGGGAATTCAAACTAAAAAGCGGTGCGAGAACGGCTCCTACGACTCAAAGATGAAATTTGCTGGCCCGCGGAAGCATCCATGCGGATTCAAACGCGCTGCGGTGAAGAATGCGCCGTTCGGGCAGTAATGATAGCGCGGCGTAAACTTGCCGTGCAAGCCGTAAGTTGCGCCGCCCTAGTGGCCTCCGGCCTGTCCTGCCACTTTGCTTGTGTCGTGGAGGCCTTCGCCCCCTTCGCCAGGCAGCAAAGCCTGCCCAGGAGCAGCGTGAATCTCCTCGGTATCTTGCAAGTTTGTCTTGTCCTAGGCAGCAAGGGCCCCAGACGTGCTCGAATCAGTTTTGGCTCCAGGAGTCCAATCGGAAGCCCCTCTTGTGCAGATTGGATCACGGCGAGAGGGAGGAGATACTGCAGGGGAGGAGAGCTGGAAGGGGGGAATCTAGGCATCTCAGATGAGGTGGGAGTAGATGGGGTCGGAGGATCTCGCCGCATCGCCAGCGATGCGGCTCGGTGTGGAGCCCGATTTTCTCCATGCCGGCGTCGCCAACACATCGCCGATGCATCGGCGATGCGGCGAGCTCCTCCGACCCCATCTATTCAGGGTCGTACATTTTCTGTCTGCCCCCAAATCCTCATCCCCGGAGGTCCCCGTTGGCTTTCTGGAGGTCCCCGGAGGCCCCGACGAGATTCAAAAGCGTCCGAAAGCCTTCCTCCTCGATCCTCGAGGGTCGAGGGCAAAACCGGGCACCCCCCGTTCCCTCACCGAGATGTTGCACGATTGGTCTCCACGGTGGCGCGTCGCCCCGCCCTGGATCTTCGCACCTCCTCAGTCCAAGCCGCCCTCGCTGCGATGCTGTTCCGGCTCAAAAGGGCGTTTCGGTCGAGCCCGAGATTAGAGGCCGTCGGCAGGGGCAACGTCAGGACGGGACAGGCTCAGGGGGGAACGCATCGACCTCCAATCGCTCATTGATCGACCACAGGGGCTTGATAGCTCCCCCGCCCCCCCACCCCAGGGACGTGCGGATTCGCTATCGGGTGCCCACCGCCGATCTGTCGGCGACGTCTCGCCGATTCCAGGTCGATGTGTTTCCTCCCTTGAGCCGGCCCCCCCTTATCGTTCCGCCTGAATCGGCCCCGAGATTTGGGGCCGTCATGGGCAAGTGTTGCTCCTCGGTGGGGCGGGGGAGGTCCTTGTCCTCGCCGTTGTCGCCCTCGTCGGCGTCGTCCTCGCCGTCGTCGTCCTCGCCGCCGTCGTCCTCGTCAGTGTCGTCGTCCGTCGTCGGCTTCGTTGTCGTCTTCCGCAGTCGGCGCCGACGTCGAGGAGGAGAAGGGAAAGGACGGGTGGAGGAGGAAGAGTTGTTGGAGTCATTTTGCTCAGCAGGGCATCTCATGACGAAGATGCTAAAGGAATTCGCGAACAGCTCACGCGGGGTACGGTTCGATTCGTCATGGAGCGTGGGTGAGTGGCATCCGTCATGCTGTAGGAGCAGTGTGTTTTGTTGCATATCCAGTACTCGGGAAGCTTTCTGCCCCAATTCGGTTTCAGCTTCATTGCTCGATGCGGGAGCCCCGAGATTGCCTGACCCTGCTCCACCCATGACCCCCCGACAGGATCTCGGCAAATCCCTCATAGGTCAAAGTGGATCTGGTGAGTTGGAGCGCCAATGAGCGCCAGGGCGCCATGGTATCGTATTGTTTTGTTTTGCATCGCGTCGCACGGCTTGTCTTGGATATGCGCAGATGCCCACTATAACGCTTGATTTGCATTGTTTCCGTTATTTGATTGGAGTGGTTTGTGTCCTATTGTGTTGCGATACGGTGCTGTGCTAGTTTGTTTGTTTGTATGGTTTGCATTACGCTGCCCGTTTGCATGACATTGTCTTGTGAGACAGACGACCTCTAATTCAGATCGCGGTGAGGTTTCCGGATAATGAGGAGGAGAAAGAGGAGAAGCAAGGAGGGGGGACAGAGAAGGAGAGCAACACGGATGAAGAGGAAGAAGGGGAATGCGGGGTGGAAGAGAGACGGATGGGGAGTAGAGGGGAGGAGGAGGAGGAGGAGGAGGAGGAGGAGGAGGAGGAGGAGGAAGAGGAGGAGGAGGAGGGGAAGAAAGAGGAGGAGGAGGAGCCGGGCAGGCGGGCATTCCGGCCGGGCATGTGAAGGCGAGCAGCGAGACTCACGTGCCCGTGACCGGTGGCGTGACGCCAGTACTCCTTCACGAGGACCGCCCCCTCCACTCGTCTCCCCTCGGGGGTAGGGCTCGAGGTTGTGGAGTTCAATTGGTGTTGCCTGGGTTTCCCGGAAGCCTCCCGGGACCTCCAGAGGCCTCTGGGGATCTCTGGAGGCCTCCAGTTATGGATTCTGGCAGGGGGGGACTCGCTCAAGGGGGGTGCAGCATCGACCCCCAATCGCCCAGTCCCAATTCTTTTCCGATTCGGGCTTGGGTTCCAGAGCCTGGCCAGGAGCGTACGGTTTTGCTGTCAAGGGCCCATCGGCGATGTATCGCCAACTTCAGGTCAATGTTCCCACCCCTGGATCAGTCCCCCCATCGTTCCACCGCATCCAGGGGCTCCTCGCCCCAGCTCTTCTTCCCGCTCCTCGTCCACCCTCTTCTCACCCCAATCTCGTTCCCCTCTCCCCTGCCTTCCCCTGTCCTCCCCCCCTCCCCTCTCCCATCCTCCACCCTCCTGCAGGGAGGAACAGGTGAGGTGGCAAGGAGGCGCGGAGTAAGAGAGAGCCACGAGGAGGAAGAGGAAGAGGAGGGAGCAGAAAGGGCGGAGAGAGGCAAAAGAAGATTTGGGATGGGGAA